TACAAGAGGAAACAAAAAACCAAGAAGCAATAGAGAGAAAGGGTTGAAAGGAGTAGTGGAAAGAAAGGTTCGAAAGAGCAACAGAGGTACTAAGAATAAGTTAGACTTGGCCTTCAATTTAGATTTTATTTTAGTTTTTTAAATAATTTAAATTTCAAATTTAAACATTTAATAGCAGTGGATTGACAAAATTATATGATCTCTAACAATTTATTAAAAAATAAAATAAAAATTAACTAATTATCATTTAAAAAAAATATAAGATAAGAGGCTTATCTCTTTCTTCCATAGGTAAGCTTGTTTTGAATAAAAAAAATAAAAACAAAAAATAGTATAAAAAGGGGTGAAAGGAGATTAAAAAATAAAAAAAGAATGAGAGGAAGAGAGAAGAGAAGAATGATATACAAGCATATATATATATATATATATATATATATATATTATAAATAAAGAAATAAACATTTATTAAATATATATATATATATATATATATTTACTAAGAAATAAAAATAAAATAATAAATAAATTAATTATCATTTTAAAAAATATAACTACTACAAAATATGCTTTCAACGTCGCCATTTAACGTCGGTTAAAGTCGAGCCGACATTAAATACACTTTCAACGTCGGTTGGTTAAAAAGCGACGTTGAATACAAAGACTTTCAACGTCGGTTCCAAGTCAACCGACGTAGAAAGTACATTCAACGTCGGTTCATCTAGAACCGACGTTGAAAGTCTTTGTATGGACACTTTCAACGTCGGTTCCGGATGAACCGACGTTGAATGTGTCTTCACCAAAAAATTTTTAAGTTAAAGAATTGTCACTGATAGAGTTCGAACCCAAGTACTTTAGAGTTGAAAGTTGATATTCCAACCACTAAACTACTCGTAATTTTCTCGATAATAACTTACAAATTAATTATATTTATATACAAATAAATATGTAATTTTCTCGATAATAACTTACAAATTAATTATATTTATATACAAATAAATATATATTACTGTGTAAATATATATTTATTTATATTTTACTGGAAAGTGATTTTATTTTTTTCAGCCAAAAATTCACTTAAGTTAGAGAATTGTCATCGACAGGATTCGAGCCCAAGTATTTTAGAATTGAAAGCTAATACTCCAACCACTAAACTACTGTAATTTTCTAATAATAACTTACAAATAAATTATATTTATATACAAATAAATATACGTGTAAATATATATTTATTTATATATATTTTCTGGAAAGTGTTTTTATTTTTTTTAATAAAAAATTCACTTAAGTTAAAGAATTGTCACTGATAGGATTCGAATATAGTATTTTAGAGTTGAAAATTGATACTCCAACCACTAAACTACTATAATTTTTTGATAATAATTTACAAATAAATTATATTTATATACAAATAAATATATATCCGTGTAAATATATAAATAGAATATATAAATACAAATATATTTATATATTTTGATATATTTATATATTTTTATGTTGGATGTGAGGGCGCGATCGAGGGTGAAAGTGAGATTGACTCTCGCTTAAGTGAAAATACGTTAAAGCTCACAGAAATTCACTCGTTCAAGCCTAGCTTGAGCGAAAATTGGTATTTTTCGCTTGAGCGAATGTGTCACTTGAGCGAATGATGCGTTTCCCAAATTTATTTTATATCATTATATAAATAAATTATACATATTATATTCTCGTCATTAAATTACAAACCCATATAAAGAGACTCGCTCACAAATTTGGCATCAAATTTTGAAAATCCACTCGACACACACTTTCACCTTCGAGCGTGCCCTCACATCCAATATATAAATATATAATTATTTAAATATATCAAAATATATAAATATATTTGTATTTATATATTTATACGGATATATATTTATTTGTATATAAATATAATTTATTTGTAAGTTACTATCAAAAAATTCGAGTAGTTTAGTGGTTGGAGTATCATCCTCCAACACTAAGATGCTGGGTTCGAATCCTGTCAGTGACAAAAAATTTGATTTGAAAAATAAGACTTTCAACGTCGGTTCTATTTAACCGACGTGGAAAGGATAAGAGTACAAAAAGGAAGGAGGGGTGAAAGGAGGTAAAAAAGAGTAAGAGGGAAGAGTAAGAGTACAAAAAGGAAGGAGGGGTGAAAGGAGGTAAAAAAGAGTAAGAGGGAAGAGAAAAATGATATACACGTATTTTTATCATCTTTTATATTTGTTAAAATAAGAGAATGAGATATTTATCATTATACTTATTTATTTTTAATTATGATACCTAGTGAGATATTCTTAACCTTATTTTATTTATTTATTTCTCGTTATATATTATTTATTTCATTTATTTATTTTCAATTATGCACTAAAAATATTCTATATTTATTTATTTATCTTCAATTACGCATTTGTCCTATTTTATTTATTTCATCTCCAGTTATGCATTGATCTTACTTATATTTATTTAAGTAATATACTGGTGATTGTTTATTTATTTATATTTAGATAGGTTAATTTTTTTAAATAATAACATTTATTTATAAAGATTTGATAACATTATAAATGAATGTTGGATCTTGGGAGATTGAAATAAGTAAATATAACGTAAAGAATGATTAATTTTGGGATCATTTATCCTGACTAGTCATTAAAAAAATCAATTCAAAACTTCATCATATAAAACAAATTGAAAAAGTTGATTTTAGTTATAATATTATTTTCCATGATATTTATTCTCACTTCCCTGTTTTATCTCTTATAGATGATACAATTAAAAATATCAAACTTAAATAGATGGAGACATAAAACCTTTCAAATCTCTTCTCTACAATCATCACTTATAAATGACTAATGAAAATATAAATATGATTAATAGTTCAGTTATTTGTAGAGGATGAAATTATCAACATTTATATTAATACAAACACAAATTATTTTACAATTTTAAAATGACTAATAATTATCACTTTCTTTATGTATATATCATTCACCATAATTTTTTAATCAATTTATTTTCATCGATGATTTTAATACAATAGTTGTAATAAAAAGGAATTAAAAATAAATAATTTTCTTTCTTCTTTTTAAATAAAATATGTTAAAATAAAAATAATAATATAAATTACATTTCTATATATAAAATATTTTTATTTAATGTGATGAAAGAATGTTAAAGTTGTATTATATATATATATATATATATATATATATATATATCATAAATAATAATATTTTTATTTTATTTAAATTATTATTTATTATTTATTTTATGATATTTTAAATTTATAATTTTATTATAATTTATAATAATATTATAAAAAACAATTTTTTATTATTAATAGATTTATTATATTATAAAAATATTATTTTATAAAATTTAACTAATAAACACTGATTAATTAAATCAATTAAAGATTTAAACTTGGTGATATTTTGATAAGAAACTATATAATTCTTCAAACAACTCATTTTTATTAATATAATAATTTGTCAAATGATTCAATAAAAATAAAAATAAATTAAAATTATTATTATAATATTAAAATGGAGTTGTTTATAAAAATTGTATAGATTTGGGTTGTCAAAATATCATTTTCCTTAAAAAAACATAAATGATGATATTTTGACAACCAGAAATCCTAACATCCTTTAAATAACTCACTTTTATTAATATAATAATCTATAAGCTGATTTAATAAAAATAAAAATAAATTAAAATAATTATTATAATATTAAAAGAGAGTTGTTTACAAAAGTGATATAAATTTAGGTTATGAAATTATTATTTTCAAAAAAATTATAGCAGAAAACCATACAATTAATATTAACAAAAGAAGTAAAAAGTGATGATATCGTATGATGTGCATTTGACACACTTTCCTATCTGATGACAAGGCCTGCTAGCTTGTTATGTTTTGACCACCAGGCAATAGTTAGTTAAAAATAGTCAAGGCTAACGAGATGCCAAGCCAATAATTTTAGAGGGGTAAATATTATATTTTTAACAAATATTAAATGAATATAAAAAATATTATATTATTAAAATTTAATAAATAAATATATTAATAAAAATATAAAAATAAGAGATTAAAATTATAAATATGTAAATTAATATATTTAATAAATACTAAATTTAAATTAAAATATAAAATATAAAATTTTGTGATTATAATCTTCATCGTCCAATAAACTACACAGCTGATATGTCTAAATATTATAATAAAATACTAAATTTTTTTTTAATTTAATATCTTAATATAACTTAATTTTAAAGATATTTTTTTTAATTTTTGTATTTTAAAATTATTTTTTTCCTTATTTTTTAAATATTTTATAATTAAAATTTTTTTTAATTAAGTTAAAATTGACCCATTAATATAATATAAAACAAATTAAATAAAAAAATTATAATTAATTTTAAATTGTAAGTGAAATTCAACGGTTAATTTAGTTTACTTAACTGTATATCCAGTACAAACTGTATTAGGTAGATATGACAGTCATACATAATAATTATATACCCAACAAATTTAAATAAATGACTGAACTAAAATCTTCGTCTCACTCCATAATTTTAATATCAAATTACCAATCACTAAATAAATATTCTCTTTTTTTTTTTTCTGTGTTTCTTTTGAATTTCACCATTGTTTTTTTAATATTATTGTCCCGTTTTCGGAATTTTATATGCATATATATATATATATATATTTTTTTTTTCCTTAAATTTGAACGAGTAGAACAATTTTTTTTAAACCATGAATTTAGGATAAAGAAGCTTCCGGCTGAATCCATTTCGGTTAATGGGCTAGGATTCAAGCCCAACAAAGAAGAAACAGTAAAATCACCGAAAGGTCCTTTCATTTGCGCCTTCGTTTGTGGCACCTAGATTCCGTCCGCACCAGGATTCCGCACCTAGTTTAGTGCTCTTCACTCCTTAATTACTTAACCGCGTCTGAGTCCCACCAAACAAACAATCAAACAAACACCGCCATTACCATGTCTTCCTTTTCTACTCTCAGGACCCGATCCTCACCCTTCATCGCCCAACACCTCTCCATCCAACTCTTCCAGATCCGGCAGTCCTCCACCTCTTCCCCCGCCTCCTCGCTCCTCAACACCACCGGCCCGGTCCGACCCGGATTTGGTCGAACCGCACTTTCCACCGCCCTCGCCGGGTCCAGCGTCCTAGGTCTTCTTCTGTACGGCTTCTACTCTTATTCGCCCAATTCGGATTTTGATTCAATCGCTTCTCTCGTTGACCGGTCCACGCCGAATTCCGAGGACCAAGAACGACGTCCTTCCTTCTTTCCGAAATTTTCACTACCTGAAAGTTCCGGTAGCTTGCTACTTGGAGGCAAGTTTCTCTCGCTTTAAGGTCTTCAAAAGATTTAATTGATTAATTAATTTTTTAGAGCTGATTCGGTGGTTTGGTTTTGTTAATAAATAATAAAAATAACAATAATAACGTGTTTTTGGTTTTTGGTGGTGCAGATGCATTCAGGAGAAAGGTTTTCTTCAACTATGAGAGGCGCATACGGCTGCGAAGTCCTCCGGAAAAGGTGCTTGGCATATATTATGTATATCACCTTGCTGTTTCATATTTAATAAAATGAATTGTAACATAATAATCTTTTTCTACGTGCACACAGTTCAATTCATGTACTTAATTGTGGCTGATTTTTCCAATTTTGTTACTTGAAAGTGTAAGTAAAAATTATCGGAACTTTGGAAATGAAGTAAATATTTTATGACTAATTTTATTCTTTTAACTTAAACTGGGGGAAATTGTTACAGGTTCTGGACTTCTGCGGTTTTGAGTCTTGATCAGTCTCCATGTGATTCATAATGGGATTTTTATTTTATTAACTATCTATATTGTAAATTAAAAAAACCCCGGTTGTGTTGTGTAGATATTGGTTGGGATCATAAATATGAGGTGACCGCGAATCACATAGTGGTTATTTTTTTAAAAAGTGGCTTTAAAGAAAGGGAGGAGACAGACGGAAAATGGAGGGGGAAGGTGGGAGAGGGTAAATGCTGTTAGTGATGGTAAAGGAAGGTAAAAATTAAGAGTAAGCGAGACTTTATTTATACTTCTATTATTATTATTATTTTAATGATCCTCTTTCACTCAACTTTTTAAGAATGTAAATTGTTCCTTTACTTTTATAAAAATTAAACTGCATAGAAAATGCGTTTGACGGATTTTAGAGAATAATTCATTTTGTACAGAGTTTAAAATATTAAATAGTCAGTGTTACGTAAAAGTTTTCAAATGATCACTTCATTAACAATGTCTATTGTTTTGATTAAGGTTTTTGAGTACTTTGCATCTGATCGAAGTCCAAAAGGAGAAGTACTGATGAAACCAGCAGACCTCATGAGGGCAGTGGTTCCTGTTTTCCCTCCATCTGAATCCCACCTTGTTAGAGATGGATACTTGGGAGGAGAAAGGAGTCCGGGTGATTTACGCTGCCCTCCATCTGAATTTTTTATGCTTTTTGATGTAAACAATGACGGGCTGATATCTTTCAAAGAGTGAGTTCCTCTGTTAATGTTGTGTTCTTTGTCAAGTATATTCTTTTTGTGATCGGGAAATAGGGTGTGTCCCAATTTATCGTATGCAGTTTGACCATGCTTGGTTTCAAAAAGTGTTATTTTCATGTTTTTTGTTCAGAGTTTTGAAAACATGAAACAAACGAGGTGATGATTTTGTAATTGTTTGTGAAAATGTGAAATGAAAAGACAAAATGTTTTATCAAACTAAATATGTCCTTTGTTTTCTTCTCTTTCCTTTTTAGTTACAAAGGATGTCTAAGACCTGTTATGGGAAAGGGGATAGGGTAAAGTGGAAGCAAAGCAGCCTATGTATGAATTCAATTGAGGATGAAGCAGTCCTCAAAGGGGCTTGCTGCCACTTTAACTAAGGTTATTTGACTATTTTTCTTCTAGTTTGCACTTCCTTTTCATCTCTCTACTCATGATCCATGTTTGTATGTGTGTTCAACATCTGTTATTTTTCTCTTGAGCAGGTATATCTTTTTTGTAACACTACTCAGCATTCCGGAATCAAGTTTTACGGTGGCATTTAAAATGTTTGATGTCGACAATAATGGGTGAGTGGTCGTGCTATTCCTTTGACAGTGAATGAGTATATAACCTGAGCTAATATATTGTAAATTGCAATTCTTTGTTTTACAGTATATTCTGCTCTTTAATCATTCTAAACATTAAATTAATCAGTCATTTCTTGAGGACATTGGTATTAGGTTGTTGCAAGTTTGCAATGACATCAAGTTCAAGGCTATACAAAATGTTGCATTGTAATTGCAGCTACATTTGAATTAGATTTGCTGCCTTGTGGGTTCTTGCTTTTCTGGATCTCTCTTCTGATGACATTAGTTTGTTTTCCCCATTTACATATTTACAGGGAGATAAATAAGGAAGAGTTCAAGAAAGTGATGGCATTGATGCGATCTCGCCATAGGCAGGGTGTTCACCACAGGGATGGACTGCGAACTGGCTTAAAGGTGAACGATCCTGTGGAAGATGGAGGGCTGGTGGAATATTTTTTTGATAAAGATGGTAATGGATGCCTTCAGCATGATAAATTCGTTACATTTCTGAGGGACTTGCATGATGAGGTAAATTTCTAGTTGCTTCAATCAGTGTCCTTATGAGGTTTGAAAATCACGTTTGTTGCTTTAATTAGTATCATTTTGAGACTTGAAGGATAGCCATAAATTGTTGTTTGTGCCTTCTACTCCACATATTTTTTGAAAATCATATCAGTTGTCTGAATATTTATGATATATTATATCGATATATGCACGTGGAAAAAGATCTTTTTTATGTTTATGTTTTCAATATCATTAATGTGGTGGAGGTAGTGGTGACTTGTGAGGATAGCATTAAGAACTGCAAAGATTTTATTTGCTTTTGTGTGTAATCCGAGGTTGTTTTAAGAAATTTTAGTGTTTGCAAATTTAAGTTTCTTAGTCATGTGATGTTATACGCAGACTAGTTGTTTGAAACCAATAATTTTTTGGAACAATGCCAGATATGGTGATTGTACTTGTGGGTCTGGGATGCTATCTTTGAGATCTATTTTGTCTTAGAAAGGGAAAAGCAAGTGCAAAGATGGTGAAAATATTTAGGTGGTATGTGCCTGTGCGATTGAACTGGATCAGGGTAGAGAAGAAAATAGATGAAGAAAAGTGACAATATGTATTGTTCTCTAGTTCAACTCTGTTAACAGAGCCAGAGATAGTTACGATGATGCTCAGGGTATTCAAGAGACCCTGACCTCTTCCTACTCCAAGTGTTCAATTCAAACCTTTCCAACTTGTTATGATCCCTCACCCCTCTCTCTCAACCCCTTCTTTTATTTATAGGCACAGGGTTTTCAAACTATCTCCCACAAACTAACAAATGCTAACTAATTAACCTGTTGTAATTAACTACTAATTAAAGGGGGTTACCTAACAGTATGTGATATATAGGATTGTGATTTAATCAGATAACTTGATACTTGCTTCTACATACAGTTGTGTAGAATTTAATTCCCGCCATAAATTTTATACACGTGAAATTATTCTTTTCCATTTTCTGTGAAAGTTTCATTTATGTAGAACCTTTTCTATGTTGACCTCAGAATTGACTATGTATGACCGTTAGTTGCAATATTTTATGTAGATTCTGAGGCTGGAATTTGCTCATTATGACTACAAATCTCAACAAACCATATCAGCGAAGGACTTTGCACTCTCCATGGTTGCTTCGGCGGACATGAGTCAGCTAAGCAAGTTGCTTAAACGGGTTGATGTATTGAATGATGATCCACACCTGAAGGATGCACGTATCACATTTGAGGACTTCAAAAACTTTGCGGAGTTACGGAGAAAATTAGTGCCATTTTCATTGGCTGTTTTCAGTTTTGGAGAGGTAAATGGCCTGTTGACAAGAGACGATTTTCAGAGAGCAGCATCACAAGTATGACATTTATCTTTGATAATTTGCTCAACATACTCTTGAGTTGATTGTTATGATATGGAGGATTAGATTCTCATCATCTAATCAATGTTGCAATTTTTTTCTGCTACCAAACCTTTTGAATTATATGACCAGGGGTGTTTACTTTAGATTAAGAAAGTTGGTGTTTTCCTAATTTTCGTTCCTTCATTTTTGTAGATTATATAGCAAGGATAGCAAATTCTTATTTTGTTTAATTGTTATAATTTCAGGTATGCGGCATATCTCTGTCGGACGACGTGGTTGACATTGTTTTCCATTTGTTTGACACAAATCGGGACGGAAACTTGAGTTTTGACGAGTTTGTGAGAGTGCTACATAAACGAGAGAGGGACATTGCACAACCCGTGGAGACAGGAATCATGGGTTTGTTATCATGCTGCTGGAACTGTGGTAACAACAACAAATCATTTTCAGGGTTTTTTTCCTGATAATGTTGCAAACGTTTCAAGTACAGTAACAGAATGGTTTGGAACCGTTGGTGGGAAGTAAATATCGAAAGAAAAATAAAGAGAAAGATGGGTCGTGGTTGTTGGTTGGTCTGGGACTGGAAGTTTCCCGTAAAATGCATGTCAAATTCGGGTCTTCCTCATATAACCTCACTCTACAAGTACCCTCGAAAAAGGCGGGAACAGAAATATTATACTTTTGATAGCTCAGAAATATCAACCAAGTATGCTGCAAAATCAATGTGTGCCCTTTGTGTCCACTGAGGTGGACAACCCCTAATACCTGGGACTATTTTGCCATGTATGTACCCCAGCTTTGTAATCTGCACTCAGCATCACTATGAATGCCTGAGGTAGTATATTTACTATTTAGCAATGCGTTGAATTGTTCTTATCTGCAGTGTAATTTGTTGTAATGTAATACCTACCCTATATGGGTATGACAACTTTTGCAATAATGTAAGCCCTTAAGTAATGCACGTTATAGATTGCAGTCAGTTAGATGTTATAGCCCTTAAGTGTATTAAATATACATTACAATGTAGTACTTTATTTCTTTCCCTATCTAGTGGTTTTATTATTAATTCATGCATACTAAGAAAAAATTAATTGATCTGTCTTTGGACTAAAACATTCTTATTCGATCCTTTTACTAACTAGAATTCATTATCTGCATTATAAATTTCGATGTTTTCCCTCCAACTTTTGTGCCCATTCTACACCTCTAAACATGTGATGAAGTATTTGATAGGATGGTGTGGGTTTGGGTTTTGAATACTTCGAATAGCTATAATCAAGTATGCACTTTGAACACCTCTACCATAATATTCTTGCATAATTGAAATGAATGATATAGTGAATGAATTCAAAAGCAAGTAAAGGTACATAAACACTATTAAACATAATAGCATAAGAATCGTTTGAACTATTAGAAGGATTTAGAAGAGAATTTATTGGAATAGATAAATTAAATTTTAATAATGACTATTTAAAATTTTAGTCTATGAATGTTGACTGGGAGATATTGTTGATAAAAAAATAGTCATATCTAATAATGAATGCATATAGATTCACGTATGCTTTAGTTAAAGAATATTAACCTTATATTATTTAATTTAATTAATAGATATTTATTATAAATTTAGAGCAATGTGTGAATTGCACTACCTATTTCTTTAGTTATCATGCTGTTGTTGTAGATTACTCTTTGACTTTGTTGATGACTGAAAGAATCAGTATTATCATCTTTTGTAAATTCTCATGTCAATCACATTTTGACTTAAATAATAACTAATACCTATTGAATAATCTGTCTGGGTATTTTTAGAGTAATTTTCTTTCGATCACATATCAATTTACAAGACTCGCAAATTAGTTCAAAACTCATATTTTTCATAAATCAAAATAGTTGACCGTGAATTGAAAATTATGTTTGTTAAATAAAAAAGTTGAAATTATGTTATGCATATTTCGACTTGTTTGAGCTATACCATTAAATAATTAAATTCATATGGTAAAATTATCAATTACTTTTCTTATTTATTTTACATGAAAAATATGCAAACAAATAAGAAAAATAAATAAATTTTGTAGCTCGGATTGACCATGAGTTGAATTAAATTTTTTGTGAACTTCAAATTGAACTAAATTCAAATTATAAAATAGGAAGTGTATTGAATTTGAAATTATGTGTCGAATAAATTCTGGTCACGCGGAATCCAATTAAACTCATCTTCTGTCGTACAAGTCAAGATGAATGAGGTCACGAGCTTCAACATTTTTTCTAATTTCCTATTTTCTCGCTTAATTGATTATTTCAATCTCACTTAAACTTTTGGTTACATATTCAGAAAGAAGAGGATTGCTATCTCCAACTGGCAAGCTTTCTCATTCCCAGCTTTTTAGAATCTGTATTTACTTTGTTCATCGGATAAAATCAATCGAAAAATGAGAAGTTAAAGTTTGGAGACTGATAAATGAGAATTTGAAGACGAAGAGTTGAAATTTAGGTTTAGAAGAAAAAAAAAAGGTGGCATTCAAATTTGAAGATAAGAAAGCAAGAAAATGGGGAGTGGCCAAAAAAAGTAAGGAATTAATTAAGAAACTTTTTATTAAAGTTATTTTTTGTTTCAAATAAATTTGATGAAACATGAAATGCACAGTAAGCAGAATCAGGCAATGAATATACAGTACAACTACCAGTATAGCAGCCAAGAAAAGGACAAGAACATATCTGGATTGTCTTGTTTTGATTCTATGTGGTTTCATTACGAAGTCGTCAGAGCCTCGAATGCTAAAGAAAAAATTAGCAAGTAAACGAAAGACCAGAACAAATTACAAACACACATTTCTTTAAGAGCGGAAACAAGACGTGGGGCTGAACGACGTCGTTTCAGTCCTATTTTAGGTGCAACTTTTGAACCACGTCAACCCCACCATTGCCATACTCCACATGCAATTGTGTTGTGTTTTTGTTTATTTATTTTCCAATAACAACAACAACAATAATAATAAAATAAAGAAAAGCCCCAACCTTTGCTCTCTTCCTTTCATCGCAGAAACTACTCCTTCATTCATTCCCTTCCTCTTCCCAACTTTGACTTGAGGCCAAAGAAACCCTAAGCAAAAAGGGAAAGGAAGGAATAAGCATAACAATATCCATAACCATACAATCACGTAACATGTATATCTCTCTCACTAGCTCTGTTTATTATAACGACGAGGATCCAATTTTAGTTATTATTATGGGTTATATTAATTATTATCGTTGATTAATTTAATTTAATTTAATTTATGTTTTCACGATAATCGATGATTCAGTTACATGGGGAAGCCGGCGGGTAAAAAGAAAGATCACGAGGTTCCCGCTCCTGCTCCGAAGGCGAACGGTCACCACCACCCGACAAAATCATGGGAAGAAAAACGCAGCGCGTCGTCGTCGTCGTCGTCGAAGATGTTGGACGAGGACACGGCGATGTTCATAAACATGTCGCACGAACTTCGGGAGGAAGGGAACAGGTTGTTTCAAAAGAAGGACCACGAGGGGGCGATGTTGAAGTATGAGAAGGCCCTCAAGCTTCTGCCGCGGAACCACATCGATGTGGCGCACCTCCACACGAGCATGGCCGTGTGCTACATGCAGCTGGGGTTGGGCGAGTACCCACGCGCCATCAGCGAGTGCAACATGGCGCTGCAGGTGTCGCCGCGCTACACGAAGGCGCTGCTGAAGCGCGCGAAGTGCTACGAGGCGCTGAACCGCTTGGACCTGGCGATGCGCGACGTGCGCGTGGTGCTGAATTTGGAGCCCAATAACTCGACGGCGCTGGAGGTTTTGGATAGCTTGAGGGAGACGATGGAGGAGAAGGGGATTGTGATTGACGAGACGGAGATCGCTCTCGCCGCACTGAAGCAGCAGCCGGAGCCGCCGGTGGCGCGGCTGAGGAAGGTGGTGAGAGAGAAGATGAAGAAGAATAAGAAGGAAGCCAAGGGGGAGGATGAGGGAAAAGCGAAAAAGGTTATCGTTGAAGAGAAGGTTAAGGTTGAGAATTTAAAAAAAAAGGAGAAGGAAAAAGAGAAATTGGGGAAAGAAGAAAAAGGGAAATTGGGGAAGGAAGAAAAAGGGAAATTGGTGAAGGAAGAAAAGGGGAAATTGGGGAAGGATGATAAAGAGAAATCCGGGAAGGAAGAAAAAGAGAAATTGGGGAAAGATGAAAAAGGGGTTGTTACTAGGACTGTGAAGTTGATATATGGAGAAGATATTAGATGGGCGCAGTTGCCTGTGAATTGTGGAATTAGGTTGGTGAGGGATGTGATAAGGGATAGGTTTCCTGGATTGAAGGGTGTTCTTGTGAAGTATAAGGATAGGGAGGGTGATTTGGTTACTATAACTAATACCGCTGAATTGAGGTTGGCTGAGACTTGTCATGTTCTTGGATCGATTCGGCTTTATGTGACGAAGGTTGAGCCGGAAGAGGAGCCGTTTTATGATGATGGGCTTGTGGGGGATGGTGGGAAGGTGAAGGTGGCTGAAAATGGGAATGGGGGTGTGGGGAAAGGGGTGAATAGTACTGTGGAGGATTGGCTTGTGCAGTTTGCTAGGTTGTTTAAGAACCATGTTGGGTTTGATTCAGATGCGTATTTGGATATTCACGGGATTGGGATGAAGTTGTACTCGGAGGCCATGGAAGATGCAGTGACAAGTGAGGCTGCTCAGGAGTTGTTTAATATTGCAGGAAATATGTTTCAGGAGATGGCGGCTTTGGCTTTGTTCAATTGGGGGAGTGTGCATATGTCAAGGGCTAGGAAGAGGGTGAGTTATCCGGAGGATGGATCAAGGGATTCTTCGTTTGAGTGTCTTCAGGTAGCGTATGAGTGGGCTCAGAAGGAGTACATGAATGCAGAGAAGAGATTTGGAGAGGCTGTGAAGATCAAACCCGATTTTTATGAAGGGTTTCTTGCTCTGGGGCATCAACAATTTGAGCAAGCAAGGCTGTGCTGGTGTTATTTGATTGCAACCGAGAAGGATTTGGAAGCAGGCCACTCGGATGAGGTTCTGCAGCTCTATAACAAGGCTGAGGACAGCATGGAGAGAGGCATGTTGATGTGGGAGGAGATTGAGGAGCGGCGATTGAATGGACTGTCCAAATCGGATAAGTATAAAGAGCAGCTAGAGAAAATGGGGTTGCATGGTCTTTTCAGGGATGTTTCTCCTGATGAAGCTGATGAACAGGCTGCAAGGATGAGGTTGCAAATATATCTTTTATGGGGCACTATGTTGTATGAGCGTTCTGTCGTGGAGTATAAGCTAGGCCTGCCAACATGGGAGGAATGTGTAGAGGTTGCAATTGAAAAATTTGAACTGGCTGGAGCTTCTTCAACTGATATTGGGGTCATGATAAAGAACCATTGTTCTAATGAAACGGCAATGGAAGGTATGAAACGGGAAAATGTTTATCCATAGTGTGTATTTCTCAAATTTCCTTCAATTTCAAATATTTCAGGGAACTAACAATCCTATTCTCTTAATGGCAGGGTTCAAAATTGATGAGATAGTGCAAGCATGGAATGAGATGTATGATGGGTGGCAGTTTGATGTTCCATCATTTCGACTTGAACCGTTGTTCCGTCGGCGTGTTCCAAAACTCCATTACATCCTGGAGCAATTTTGAGTTTTCTTCTTGTGTTTGTTATTCTTTATAGAGGCAATAATAGTGCCTCTATTATCTTTATAAGTTTTTGAGGGCTTCCGCATTCTATTCTAAGACAGGTAAGGCCACGCTTCTACTACTGTTTCGTTTGCATGTTTCTATAGAAGAAGATCTTTTAAGCTGTCTAGAGAATTTAGGGAGATTTGGTAGGATCTGAATGTTTTACTGCTTATCCCTTTGACTGAAATTGTGTTTTCATGAACATTGGAATGTTGTGCCTAGTGTTTGCCGTTGTTCAAAATATTAATGGTATCTTTCTGGGCTGGCTCATCATAGGAATTATCTTTTCGGTTGTTAGGCTCTCAGGAGTTGAGAGCTGAAATTTTTTATTTCTGTATTCAGAACACTAATAGGGAGATTGAAGGGGCAGCTAAGTGCACAAGTTATACAACTATAGGTGTATGTGGCTGACCCGTTGTCCTAGAATACTATAATTATTTGACAAATGATAGCTGCATGTTTCATGGAATCACAACTGGATGCTTATGTCTTTAATAGATGGCTGTGGAACAAGTTATTACAAAGCCATAGACTATTGAGGTTGGTAATGTAATCTCAGTTATATTTCTAGGAAACGGATCATCATGTCGAATTTTGCATTGATTTTCTGATGAGATTGTGTAAGAAATAGACCTTGTGTAAAATTTGGAAGATATTACAATGAAAGACTTCTGGCCACTGGGGACAGGTAGCAGTCCTCTCTACTCGAAATATTTTGGGGAATGAATGGCCTTTGCTATGCTGTCCCATGTGAGATCACAACAGTGTATCGATCACATACATAAAGAGTATACAAAAGAGGAAAAGAAGAAAAAAGGTTCAGTGATTTATGTGATAAGGTAAGGCTCCTGAATTTTAAATGGGATTGATGAATTAGATTATTTGAATTACTATTATTGGTATGATACATGGTGATGTTAGCCTCTGGCTTCTAGACCAGTTTATCCCTTCTTCTGGGTTTCCCTCCCCGGAAGAAACTGTTGCCATTTTGCATTTGCGATATTGTTGGATTAATAGGATCAGTGGATGGACTAACTACTAACTTAAGAGAACAAATTTGTACTTCTAAATGGTCTATATTATGGTTTTACTTTTTATTAAAGTATTAGGTTTTTGTCAGTGATGACATCTATATGATTGACCTGATGGATTTATTTGCCTTGTGGTTGCAGGTATTCTTTCTGCACACTGTTAATTGTTGATTGGTGCTACGGTTGGATTATTCTTTTTCATTGCAGTTTTGTACGAGGTTGAGATATTTAGGCAAGGAAAAGCCTAGTTGTGTGATTTGTCATCTTTTAGAGGGGATGTGTTGTGAGTTTGTCATCCTTTACAGTTGTGATATATCAATATATGATTTCTTTTGTTGGTTTTGAGGTAGTGAGTGGTTTGATCTGATTTGTTGGACCTGCAAAAACAATAAAGTAAAGAAAATGAGCCTGAAGGTTGTGAGCTCTGGGGTTTGATGATTATTTTAGTTGTCAAATTGTGATTTTTAACATTATGCAGAGTGTTGTATTGTATATTATGCATTTTTAATTACATATTCTCGAGTTATACCGTCATGTTTGAATCATCATTCATTTACATATTGTGTCCTCGTGTTTTACATATTAGTTTTCACGGGACTCATAAAAATTTATTATAAAATTTAAATAAATAATAATTATTTGATATAAATATTATACATTTATTAAATATATTTATTCTATATATAATACAGATAAAATGAGATAGAAAAAATAAATATAAAAAAATTAGATATTGAATTAAAAATAATTATTCCTTATTGTTGTTGCTGAAAAGGTCACTCCCTTGTAATCTTTCTTTTTCTCCAATCCTAATTTCTCTTTATAATGATCTAGTTTTCTTTCTCCTTATCCATATTTCATTGCTGATTTTTATCCGGATTTGTAGATTATCAGCAAATTTCTAGACTATAATATGGGAGGTATACCAAATCCAAATATCTTGTCACGTGTTCTATCAATAAGATGGATCACTTTATTAGATTTAGTCATTTGGTCATTACACTTATCTTTCAATAATAAAAGATAATATTTTTTCTATATATATTTAAATCAATAATGGTATAAAAAATATATTTTATGTATAAATTTACATTAAGGTATAAAATTAATAAAATAATATCAATTTATCTATTACTTATTAAATTTTAGATAAAATGTTTAACAAATTTTTAAATTAAATTTTAATTTCTTATATATAATTAAATTTAAACTTATTACTCAAAAAAGAAAATTAATTGTTGATTAAATTAGTTGAAATATAATAAATTAAAAAAAGTGATATAAAAATATTATAACAATAATTAAAAACTTAAAAAATATAATAAAATAGAAATTTTTTAAGTATTTTTTAAAATCGTATAATTTGTTTATCTTGTTAATTGAGTCTAAATCTTTTTTAAAAGTAGTCATTAAATTATTTTAGACATTAGTTTTATATTGAAAAATTATATTTATTATTTAATTAAAAATACTAATTAGATAACAGAAACTTAACTTTTTATTAAAAAAATAGTAAAATCTTTATTTCCATAAATTAAAAAAAATTACTTTAATTAAAAAAACTATTCAACCTTATTTTGTTAATTTAGGATAATTTTAAAAAAATATTTTTATGTAATCCTAAATATTATAACTTTTGTACTAAATATTATAATTATATTTTATTAAAAAAAAGTTACATCATATTGTAAGGGTATGTCAATTTTTTTTATCTAGTCGTAAATACAGTTTTAGAATTAATAATCTGTAACTTTTTCTTTCACATTTTTTTTTAGATATAGAAAAAAATCATTTTTAGATTAAAAAATTCAAATAAATACTATATGAGACATCTTTTCTTAAATTTATTATTTCTTGCTATAAATTGATAATAATATTCAAATATCATGAATAAAATCAATATAATACAAAACATAATGAAATAATGTCAAAACAACATTAAAAAAAAAATACCGTGATATTTTTATAGTTCAGATTTTTTGTTGTGTTGTTTATTATAAAAGAAAAATCTCGTGGTTCTCAATAATCTTTTCCTATACAATGTCATCTCTCTTGATAAACAAAACACATGAACTCACTACAAGAAAAACTGAAAACATCGACTTGTCGGTAAAAATACATCAAAAATTGAGTTGTCAGTAAATTTTATTATTTATAGCTTATTTTTTTAGAGTATATTTTTATTATTTATTTCTCCCTATTATAATTTTTTAAATTATTAACAAATTAATAAAATTGTCATTCGCAAGATTCAAACTCAGTACTTTAGAATTAGAGATTAATACTCCAACCACTAAACTACTATAATTTTTTGATGATAATTTACAAATAAATTATATTTATATACAAATAAATGTATATCCATGTAAATATATAAATACAAATATATTTATATATAATAAATATTTATTTTTTAAAATTATTTAATTTAATAAATTATTATAAATTAATCTAATTATGATTAAATTATTAAATAAAAAAATATTTAATTTTTTAATTAAGTGAATAATTAATTTATTAGAATATATTAAGTAATTATTATATAATTTTATCAACGGATATATCCATTGGTAACTAATTGTTAATTTGTCTATGGATTTACCGACGAAAATATTCGTCGGTAAATAATTGTTAATTTACCGACGAATCGGTATTAATTGTTAATTTACTGATTAATATATCCGTCAGTAACTAATTATTATTTTACCGATGGATAATAAGATCAAATTCCACAAATACTTTATATCGATTCGGTAATAACTCAATTTCTGATGACTACAAATCCGTCGAAAATATGCCATTTTCTTGGAGTAAACTTAAGAAAAAAACGAAAACAAATTTGAAGAAAACCAAGTACTCTAAAAATATTTTTAAAAGAATCATTGATATTTATATTACAAGAATATTGGATGACTTGCCTTCATTAATATTAGTATTTAAATTTGTGTTAACTCTCTAACAAATATATATATATATATATATATATATATATATATATATATATATATATATATATATTTGTTAGAGAGTTAACACAAATTTAAATACTAATATTAATGAAGGCAAGTCATCCAATATTCTTGTAATATAAATATCAATGATTCTTTTAAAAATATTTTTAGAGTACTGGTTTTCTTCAAATTTGTTTTCGTTTTTTTATATATATATATATATATATATATATATATATATTCAATTTTCGTTAAAATGAATTTGACTATTATTAGTGTATTGAAGAATAGAATAGGAGAAACAAGAATTACATTTATATGTGTCAAATACACTCCACATCTTACATGAAAGAAGCTTGAATATAAAGACACCTAAGTTAACTGTTAATTAAAGGAAAAAAAACCAGAATAATATGTTATATTAGTAAATTGAAAAACAAATATATAAGGCATATATCTCTATCATCCCCCCTCAAGCTAGGCGTAATGATTGTGAAAACCAAGCTTGGAAATGACAGTATTGAAAGGAGCAGGATAAAGGGATTTAGTGAAGATATCTACAAGTTGATAAGCAGAAAGAACATGAAAGAGATGTATAAGGTCATCTAGAAGATTTTGTTTGATAAGGTGACAATCAATTTCAGTATACTTAGTTCTCTCATGAAAAACATGATTTTTGGCTATTTGAATGTCAGAATTATTATCACAAAAAATAACGTAAGGAGTAAGACCAGAAAGATGCATATCTTGAAAAATATACTGAAGCCATTGAAGTTCACAAGTAAGGGAGGCTAACGAGCGGTACTCAGCTTTTGTTGAAGAACTTGATACATTGCTTTGTTTCTTTGACTTCCAAGCAATCAAGATGTGCCTAAAAAGATGCAAAAACTTGAAGCAGAACGATGAGTAGTAACACAAGTGGCCCAATCAGAATATGAGAATGCTTGGACTTTAAAAATGGTGTTAGACTGATTAAGCAATCCTTTTCCAGGAGCATTTATCATATAACATATAATCCTCAAGGCTTGTTGCATATGTGGTTCACAGGGAGAAGTAACAAATCGACTAAGTTATTATACAACAAAACATATATCAGGTCTCATTGTGTCAAATAAAGTAATTTGTCAATCAATCATTTATAAGTGGAGGGATCAGATAACAATAACCCTTCATCACTTTGTAATTTCACTGAAGGATCAGAAGGTGTAGGTTCTGGTTTACAACCAAGAAGACCTGCATCAGATATAAGGTCTAAGTAATATTTTCTCTAGTTCAATATTAATCCATTGGAAGATTGAATGACTTCAAATCCTAGGAAGTATTTGAGAGGACCAAGATCTTTGATATGAAATATGATATCTAACTTGTGAATATTTATCATTAAGGCCACAAATGGACTTAATTACACAATCATCATCACGTTTCTTCTGGATCTTGAGGATTAAGCCACATGTGCAGGGAGAAGCGCATTTGCAAGCAACAACGGTCTGATACAAAGAGAGCTCTTTCCAATTAATTTGAAGACAAGTATAATATTGGGAAATCATGGAATGACCTTGTCGGCAGCTTTGAAGATCTTCTTGAAGATTTGCAATCCGAAACTTATCACCAGGAGAAAATATTTGAAGAAGATTGTTCCATATGCCAGCCGCTGAATCCATCCACATAAATGATTGCTTAATATCGATGGACATAGAACGAGTGAGTCAAGCTATCACCATTTTGTTGTAGCATCTCCAAGTTTAATACATGAGATTTGTTGATGATGGACAGGGAAGAGTACCAAGAACAAACTTCTCTTTGTTCTTGGTTTCAAGAGCAACAAGAATATAATGTTTCCACTACTCATAATTGTTTTCAACAAGGGGTGGGGAAACAAGAACAATAACAGGACTCCAGGATGAAGAAAGAGAGTATTAACAAAATTGATAATATGATCAGAAGGATATGCCATGATGGGAAGGAAGAAAGAAGAGAAAATGTAGAAGGTGTTTAAACTGATACCATGTTAGTGTATTGAATAAGGGAATATGAGAAACAAAAATTACATTCATATGTGTTAAGTACATTCCACGTTTTACATGAAAGAAGCTTGAATATAAAAACATCCAAGCTAATGGTTAATATAAGGAAAAAAAAAATGTTATAACAGTAAATTGAAAAACAGAAGATATAAGGTGTATATCTCTATCAACTATAATTTATATAGTGAAAAAAATAGCACAAATCATATTGTTTATTCTATATCTTTCTTAATCTTGTATTGTTGTTCAACAAATTTAAGAGACATTTTATTCTGCACACTTTAAACATTTTTCACATTATTCTTGAAGGGTATTGGTAAAACATAATCAAACACAGTATAAATTATCAAATCCAGTATTTGTTATTTAGTATCATTATATTAGATGTATTTGAAAATTTTGTTCATACGTATTATGAGAAAAAGGAGAAGAAATGAGACCTTACATTTATTATAAAATTAATATTAAAATAAAAATTGAAGTATTATATAGAAGACATCAAGTACCTCTATAATAACAATAAACGAATTACTCATTTTTACATTTGATAATTTAATTAACAAATGTTAGGAGAAATAAATAAAAAAGATATATAGTATAATCCAAAAATTACAATCAAGAGTAAAATATTACATAAATATGACATAAAATACCTTTATAATAAAAAGTAGAAAAGTTATTCATTCATATATGATTTCTTTCTATCAAAGAATTCACATTTTAAACATGTTCAAAAGTTAACAATACATTTGTTTCATTGTCATATTGTCTAAATAAATTATATTCTATTTTAAGATTATTTTGGCAAAGAAAAAAGTTATTGCTAGAAATAATTTACTTGAAAAAATGATTTAGTCTAAATAATTTATGAATCTTACTCATGAATCTCTAAACAAATAGTATTTTTTTTATCTTCTAGTCATTTTTACCAATTCTCTTTTAGTCATAACACCTACAAACAATTAGAAGATCTAAGAATTTATCATATCTAAATTTCGTTATTGATATTTCAACAAAATAACACATACAAATAATGATAATCAAATATAATTTTTTTCTACTTGTAAAAGTAGAAACATAAAATAATATTATCTCTTCTTTCTCACACTTTGCATTCATATTACAATGCAGTAAACATCACGTATCTACAACAATTACAACGACAAAATTTGATTCAACAATATAAAAATATAATAGATAACTATAAATTTTTTACTTGTCTATTAAAACACTAAGATAGAGTAACATTACCTAAATATATTTTGTCTCATGTTCTTTTTCACATCCTGTATTCATATTGCATTATATTAAACATCACATAATATTTATAAAAGTTACAATAACACAATCAAATATGACAAAATGAACATGTAAAACTATAGCAAATAATTATATTTTTTCTACCTATCTATACAAAACACTAAGATAATTATATATATATATATATATATATATATATATATATATATATATATATTTATATTAATTCCTTTGATAACTCTAACGATTCTACCCTTATTGAATTGTTGGTGAGTAAACAAAAAGTTTATTTTATTGTTCATGAGTTCGTCGTAGAAGAAAGTCTATTTGACTATTCTACTTTTATGGAGAAAAGAATTTCTCCTTTTTTGGTGGTGGTTTTCGCTAACGTTACAATGAAGTCAAGCCTTCTTCTAGTCATAACAGGCCTAAGCCTTAGTAGATAGTGGTTAAGGATGGTCTGAACTCCACTAGGGGGAGTCAAAGGGATATGTTTCCTCCTGTCTCAAACTCAAAATATAGTTAGGTACTCAAAGAGATGAATCATTATTCTTCCAATTTTAACATTGTATACTTTGTAGAGGATATGTGTAAACACCACAAGAAATTTTATAATTAGCTAGGAAAATTAGCTACAAAATTTATTTTTCACTAATTTGTAGCTAATTAGCTATGGAATAGTGAAAGAATAAGGGTGTAGCTAACCTGTAGTAAAATAACTAGAATATTAATATTTTTGTAGCTATTCTCTCACTTAGCAGAAAAATAATTTAGCTAGGAAAATTTTTGTCACTAATCCCTCCCTATAAATATTAGCTATATTACTTTTTGAAGCTATTTTTTAGCTAAATTGTGTAACATACAATTATAGTTAAACTGTAGTAAATTTATAGCAACTATCAAATTAAAAAAAAAAAATTATTGGGAACCATTCTTATAAATTATTTTAGTTTTATAAAAAATATTTATAAAAAATACTTGTAAATTTCTCTAAAATATATATAATTATAAAAAATAATTTTTGATTTTTTTGAAAAAAATATCAATAAAAATTAATTACAATTTTTTCTTAAAAAAATTATTTTTACCAATTTGACTATAAATATATAATTATATATATACATAAAAATTATTTTTTATCTAAAATAAATTATTTAGAAATAATTATAATTTTTTTGAAAAAATATCTAAAAAAATTGATAAATATTTAAAATTATTTTTTATAAGTTTTTTATAAATTTAAATTTGTTAGAAATATTTAATAATATTTAAATTAATAGAAAAGTTTTATAAATAATATTTCTTTATAATTTTTTTAGAAACTATTCTTTATAAGCAGAAATACTAATTTATTTATTTTTTTTATAATTCTTTTAATAAAAAACTAAATTAATTTTTTCTCATCTTCTTCATAGGTAATTTTCTCTGATCGCTGCCCCTCTCTCTGTCTCGTGCCGCTCCCTGCCGCTGCTGCTGCCTGCCGCTGCTTCCGTTCTTTTCTTCTTCGTTCCTTTCTTCCGTTCTCCTTTATCTATCTCAGCTTCGATTTTCCCCTACCTTTGGTTCAGTTTTACCCTTTTCTTCGCAAATTGTTCACACGATCTTATACACTAGCGTCAATTATTAATTTAATTAATTAATAGTTCTTTCTCAATTGTTTATGTTTCCATCCAATTGAAGAAAATCGCGAGCGCCAACAACACTTGTTGCAGTGATCGATCGCGATTGTGTTGTGTTGTGTTGACCTAAGATACCTGCATATCTTCTCGTCCAGGTCTGAATCTAACGCTTTACTTGGTTAATAATCGTTAATTGCATTAATCGCTGAATAAGTTACGAACAAAATTACATTGAAGAAATATCATCTCGGTTCCGTTCGGTTCAGCTCTTGTAATTGCAATTAATTTCCCCTAATTTAGAATCGTATTAATCTAATTCGGTTATATCCTTGATTCAATATAATTAATGGATGCAGTTTATTCGTTGTATAGGTTTGAAAAATGAATTCCGTGCAAGGACCAGTTGTGTGCCCTTCTGTCCGTGCCAAGCAAGTAGGGTTCTGTAGCATTCCGATGATTGGGGCGGTGAAAATGAATGTTAGACGCATTAGAAGTGAATTTTGGGGTCTCAGTGGCGTTAAGGCTAAACCCGGTTTTCTTTCTTGCCGTATAAACGCGCCACAATGTGTTATGGTGTGTCCTTGGAACCTACACCTTAGTTTGTAATATTACTCACATATTTTTCAGAGCAGTTGTTGAGATGTTTACACGTAATTATTAAGTGATGATAAACTAGAAACAGTATACATAAAAGGAATGAAGACTTATCCTTTCACATGTAAATAGACTATTCTGAATTCTAGGACCAAAGTTTACTGTTGGATCCGGACCCGCCTTCAACTCCTCAACTCTGATGACAAATTATTTATAAAAAGCTCAAATCTATGATGAACAAAATTCACTATAACTTTTGAAAGATTAAAAGCAAATTTAGTCATACATACTGGTATTAGAAACATATATAATCCTTACTTAAACTATATGCTTCTTAAGTGTTGTGCATTTTACTTTTAATGTTGTAGGACGCACTTGGAATCAGGTCCTACCTGCATGATCGTAGCTTGATGCAATATGCAGATAAGATGGAGGACTGTGGAAAAAATCTGTCAGAGCTTATCAATTTAAGCACCACAGATCTTTCTACTCAGTTTGAAATGAAGAGCGGCCACACTGCACGTTTTGTAAACAGAAGAATAAGTGGTGATTCTTTCAAATTGCATGCACTTGTTGCTAGAAGAAAAAGTAGCATAATGATGCATAGAGACGATAACATTCCCAAAAGTTTTGGATCTAATAGCTCTAACAGCTTGACAAGATCACACATAAGAAGTAATGCTGCTTCTGATGCACTTGAACAGTCAATGGCTGAAATGAAGATTAAAGAAGGATATGTCTTTAAGGGTATTGTAGCGGCTGAATGAGCCTAGAGCTTATAACTTTTTAGTTGAAATATTATTTTTGTTATGTTTTAATTGTTTGAAATATCATTTTAACTATGTTTAAACAATACTTTTACATTGAAAATTGATAAGTTTGTCTTTTTTTTTTAAGAATATGAGTAATAATTTAAATCTTAAATATTTGATATTATAAATTTTGATAAAAATTGTGAGGGATTAGCTATGAAATAGCGAGAGAAATATTGCGAAGGATTAACTATGCATTAGCGAAGAAATAATTGCTAGCTAGTGATAAATTGTCAAGGATTAGCTATAGATTAGCGCGAGAAAAATTGTGAGGGATTAGCTACGAATTAGCGAGAGAAAAATTACGAGAGATTAGCTACAAATTAGCGAGAGTAAAATTGCGAGGGATTAGCTACGAATTAGCGAGAGAAAAATTGCGAGAGATTAGCTACGAATTAGCGAGAGTGAAATTGCGAGGGATCAGCTACGGATTTGCGAGAGCGAAATTGCGAGGGATTAGCTACGGATTAGCTACAAGTTTTGGGAGATCAAATTAGCTAGGGATAAACAAAATTTCATCATTTAAATTAGTGAGGAATTTAGCGACAGTTTAGCGACAAAATTTGCTACAAATTTGAGAGAGAATACATCTGTATCTAATTAGCTACTTGGATTTAGCTACGGACTATTTCATAGCTATTCCGTAGCTAATCTGTAGCAAAACATATCAGCGAGAGATTAGCTATAAAATAGCTACGAAATGTATCATAACTAATATGTAAAATTCTTGTAGTGAAAGTTTATGGTATTTTTGCTAATGAGAATGCATAATTTATTGTTGTTGAGACTTGTTCTCCAAATGATCGTGTTTACATGAAGCTTGGTTTGAATGTCAATGATTTCATCTTTGTTTATGAATACTTGTTTAAAGAATTGAATATTTTGGTCTTTTCTTTGATTTTGAGTGTGATATGCTTTCTATGCTATGTGTTACTCCTAGTGAGTTTTATCCAAATAGTTAGGTCTTTTTAAAAGGTTTTTAAATTTTGTGATATATTGTGTTTGCCTCCTATTACAAACAAATTTATGTATTTTTTATTAGCTTAAACATAAGTAATAATATCTAGCTAAATTCTTCATAACCTTGTTCTAAGTCCTCCTCTTGCTCTTGGTTCATATCATTCCCATCACGATGGAGAAACACCTTGTTCACAAGGTGTAATTCAAGAAAATGTACAAGTAACTTATTTAATGATTCCCATATTGAGTCCTTAAGAAATAATCTTTATCATTAAAACAATACTAGCTCTTGAGGAGGATCATACTCCACCTTATATTCAATAATAACCATTGGTAGAATTTTAGGTTCATTTGCTTTAGAAGCAAATGGTAATACCAAACCATGAAAGGGTTTAAGTTTGGAAATATGAAAAATTGGATGTATCTTTGACTCTTTGGACAAATCAAGCACAAAATGCTACCTCTCTAATGCATTGCTTGATAGTAAAAGAAATGGAACCAGAAAAGGTTTGAGCTCGACCCAAACAACGACTAACGAGCCCCTATCAGAGAAAAGTTAGTAAAAATGTTATTGCATTTTTATCATATAAGCCCTTAGACAATTTCTATGATTGTCTCCTTGTAACAAAAGTTTGTCTATATGTCCTTAACCTCACTAGACTCAGTCACATAACTCAAATGAGTGAGGAATTTGATGAAGAAGGTCAATGTAATTCTTTGTAGTTGATTAGGACTTGAGATGATTGTTTTTCAGTTTGTCTAGGATATTTTCACGCTCACTTAATTCATGCTCCACAACTTCAATATTACTAGATACAATACAACTTGATAAGAACATATCCTTGTAGAGGTTTGATAAGTTGAAGTAGAGTGTCACTTAGCTCAATCATTAAACTTTCCCCATCTTGACAATTGATAATGTACAAATGCCCTCAAATAATTGTGCCATTTAAGTTGTAGTGAAAGAGGGTTGTAACATAAAATGACCCAGTCTTCAATGGTCTGCCAATCACCACTAAAATGACAATATAATTTTAGAATGAAGGGAGACCACAATGAAGTCCACAAACATGTCTTTCCATATACCAAAGATAATCGACAAAGTAGGAACTTTGATTTGTTGGCAAATCAAATATTTTGACACAAATTTAGTAACATCTTTCTTCATTCTAAAAATAATAAATACTTTCAAATAATATACCAAGCATTTTCAACACAACAATGTGTCCTCAAATAGTTATCACATGAAACTCTTTAAGCAACAATTGTTTCAAATTAGAATGAGAAGATAAATAAATCTTAGCTTGATATAGCAAAATTCCTTAAGTCATTATTAATAATCAATGTGATCAACAAGTTTATACATGATTTTGTAATTATACCCTAACAATTTGGAAATATAACATTACTATTTAAGGGTTTGAATTATGTGTCATTAATCCCTTAAATTTTGTTAATTTGTATAAATAAAAAACTTACACATGGGCAAGTAAGTTTTCCACTTCTTTACAACCTTAATAATATCATGAAGTTGTGGTAGGTAAGTTGAAAAGTTTAGCAATTAGGTGCAAAATTTTTTGTTTAGAAAACTAATGGGATGACTGTTCCATTGGAGCATCGTGCCCATACTAGCACTAGAGGCATAAGTCTTAATAGTAAAACAGTAAAACCTTTTTTCAAAATTTAGTAACTTTAAGACTGGAGTGTATCCACATTTGAACCATTTGAACTAGGGATGACAGTTAAACACGTATCCGTGAGGATCGACCTGTCCCCATCCTGAGTTTGACAAAGAAAAACTGAGTTGACCGAGGGCGGGTTCAGGTTTTTCCCGCTTTAAGAAGTGAAGGACGGGAGCGGAGATGAGTAATGTAATTCCCACCCCGACCTCGTCCCCGTCTGCGCCCGACTTTATATTTAAATTTAAATTTTAAAATATTAATATTTTAAAAATATTTCCTTTTTTTCTATTACATATAAGCTCATTTTTTTATATTTTACCATTTTTCTTTTTCTTCTACCCACTTTTTAACTTTTTTATCTTTTTTAATCTTTTATATAAATTAGTTTATTACATTATTCTCTTTCTCTTTCCTTTCAATTTTTCACATTTCCTTAATCTCTCCAATCAAATTTTTTTTCAACCAATTTGATGAACACAAAGTTAATTATTTTTTCTTCTTTATCTTTCTCTAAATATTTTAAATAAATCTTAGTAGTAACTAATATTATTTTATTTATAATTTATATTTATTAGGTTTTATTATGTCATATTTTTAATCTTATTATTCTTATTTGTCATATATCAAATTTTATCTTAATAAAATAATTATATTTTAAAGGATTAAAAATAATTGATAATTTAAACTTTTATTACTTCAAACTAATTAAATAAGAATTAACTTATTAAATATTTATTTATAAATTATATATTTCATATTTTTAAATGACAACTTAAAAATGAATTAACTTATGTAATCAAATGTTTGAATATATAATAATAATAATAATAATAATAATAATAATAATAATAATATTATTATTATTATTATTATAAGTATTCAAATATTTGAATATAGTGTTATAATAATAATATTATTATTATTATTATAAATATTCCATATATATATAATGATTAAATATTTCTTTTACATACATATTTTAATATAAATATAATAAATTAAAATATATATTTAATTAATAATAATTACAAGTTGTAAAATTATAAATATCTATTTATATATAAAAAATACATAGTAAAATTAATTTATTATAAATATAATTATCTTTTTAAAAATAATATAGATCGGAGACGGGCGGGGAGGGAAAACCCGAAATCCAGCGAGGATGAAGATGAGAACTTAATTTATAATTCTGCCAGGGAGGCAGAGATCGGGGAGGCAAAATCTTTCCCGTCACGTTGCCATGCCTAATTTGAACTATTCAACTTTGTGTTTTTCAAATGTTCAAAAGTTGTTTGCGCTTCATTGGATCATTTGAAGGCATACTTTTTAGTGTATCGGTAAAAGGCAAAACAATTAAAGCATATTCACATATGAAGCTACGGTAAAACCTTGTAAGGCCTAGGAATCCCCATAATTACTTAAGGTTCATTGGTACTGGTCATTCTCTTATAACTTGAATTTTTCCAAGATCAAGGTCCCACATCATTTCGTTGACATTATATGACTCAAGTACTCAATAGATGATCGTGCGAAGTTGCATTTGAACTTCTTTAGATAAAACTTGTTAGTCATTAGACAGTCAAATACAACTTTTAAGTGAAGGATTTACTATATATTAAAATATCATCAAAGAACACAATAGTATATTGACATAAATATGGTTGAAATAACATGTTCATTGGCTTGAAATGTTGAGCATTGCATACGCTAGAAGGCATAACAAGAATCTTGTAATTCCTTCATGCATCATGAAAGCAATTTTGTGCTCATCCTCGACTTGCATCCTGATTTGGTGATACCTTAACCTTAAATCGAGCTTACATAACCATTGTTTGATGTAATTCATCGATCAATTCATTAATTGATAAAATAAGAAAACAATATTTATTTTTAATTGCATTTAACTAATGGTCATCAACACAAAATCTCTAACTTTTGTCCTTTTTACATGCTTACAAAATTGGTGAAGAGGATGCACTACTGCATTGAATTACACATGAATACAACATCTCTTATTAATTCTTCCATCTCTTACTTCTTTCTAAGAATGGAGGTACATGTATGGTCTTATATATTATAGGATTAGTGCTTTAAAGCAATGATTTAGTGGTCTGTTGATAATAGTGGGGAATAGTATTAGATGTGTCAAAAAGGATGGTGAATTGGTCTAGCAAGGAAGCCATAATAAGATTAAGGTAAGGTGAAAACTTTATTGATTGTGTGACTATGGGTAAAAGTTGGAGATGAAATATTTACACTATAGCTTGTGTTATAGACATACATTTGGAACAAGCCACAATTACCTAGGGA